ATGGGGGAAGCATATGATGAGAACAAGCCATCAAATTATATTAGTTACTTAGATGCTAATAACTTGTATGGTTTAGCAATGTCCCAGAAGTTACCGCTAAAAAATATCAAGTGGGCAAAGAAAACGCCCAGTGTTGAAAAATGGAATGAAAACGATGAGTTCGGTTATATTATGGAAGTTGATTTGGAATATCCCGAAACATTGCACGATTTCCACTCCGACTATCCACTAGCGCCTGAAATAATGAATGTAAATGTGAATATGCTTTCCGACTATCAAAAGCAAGTCTATAAAATATATTATGACGGTAAAAGTCCCAAGGACGAGAAAACAAGTAAGTTAATATTAAATCTAAAGGATAAAGAAAAATATGTGGTTCATATTAAGACTTTACAGTATTATTTGAAAATGGGAATGAAAATGGGTAAAGTCCATAGGATAATAAAGTTTCAACAGAGGGCATGGTTGAAACCGTGGATTGATTTCAACACTGGTAAAAGGAAAGAAGCCAAAAGCGATTTTGAGAAAGATTTATTCAAATTAATGAACAATTCTGTGTATGGAAAAACTATGGAAGACAAACGAAATCATATGGACTTTGAATTAGTTGATAATGAGGTAAGATATGAAAAATGTGTTAATAATCCAACATTCAAAAATAGATTTATTATTTATGAAAACCTTGTAGGAGTTGAAAAAACTAAAGCGAAACTGAAACTGGACAAACCGATTTTCTTAGGAATGACAATCCTTGACATCAGTAAATTACATATGTATCAGTTCTACTATGATGTTCTTAAGAAGGAATACAATGAAAACATCAAACTGGTTTATACTGATACTGACAGTTATGTAATTCAAACAATGACTGATGATGTCTATAAGGATTTCAATGAGATAAAGCAACACATGGATTTTAGTGACTATCCTGTTGAGCATCCATGCTTTGACAAAACTAATAAGAAGGTCTTAGGAATGTTTAAGGACGAATGCTCTTCAAAGATAATTACCAAATTCATAGCTCTCAAACCAAAGTCATATGCTTTTACAATACACGGTGAGGATGATGAACATAAAAAGTCAAAAGGTGTAGTAAAACACAAGGTGAAAAAAGAACTGTCATATCAGAACTATCACGAGGCATTATTTCAAAACCAAAAGCACGAAATAACATATAATTTTATTCGTAGTCGCAACCATCAGTTATTCTCAATGTCTCAAGTTAAGCAATCTCTGAGTAATTTTGAAAATAAAAGATATTATATTGATGCTTTCAATTCACTGCCTTATGGTCATTATAAACTGCGTTAAAGAGAAGATATAGTATGATATTAATGGAAAACAGTAAATATAAAAATGCAAAGATTTACAAAATAACAGATATTGGTTATAATAAATGCTACATCGGAAGCACGTGTGAAAGTTTGAGCCAAAGAATGGCAAGACATAGACAAAACCATAAGAAAGCCGAGGAATGGAACACTAAAACAAACTGTCGTTTATTATTTGATGAGTATGGAATGGAACACTGCAAGATTGAATTATTAGAAGACTATCCGTGTGAAAACAAAGAACAACTATTGAAAAGAGAAGGTTATTACATTCAAAATAATGATTGTGTGAATAGATGTGTGGCGGGTAGAACAATTAATGAGTGGAAAGAGGATAATAAAGAACATTACCAACATATGAGGAAGGAATACTCGGAAAAGAACAAGGAACATATATGTGTTAAAAGTAGGGAACATTACCATCAAAACAAAGAAACAATCCTTGAAAAAAGAAAAGAAACTATTGAATGTGAATGTGGTGGTGTTTTTAGGAAATGTGATATAAGAAGGCACGAGCGAAGCGACAAACATCAACGATATGTATGTGAAAATATTAATATCTAAATATCTCTAATAAGAATGAAATTATTAGAGATGTTTAGCGGGACAGTCTCGTAGAGGTAAGCGATGATGACTTCTAAGCCACAGAGTGCAGATATAAGAAGGGCAGTAAAAACAATGGGTTCTGTTTCAGGGTGATGTTTCTGGGTCTCGTTTGAGTGGTTTTGTTTGTAAAAAATGTCAATTGTTTCAACCCTCTGTTTTACCCTCCTGTTTCAATGCGGTTTTTTGTCAAACAAACCCCTCTGTTTCAAAACCAGTTCCAGTCCCATTTTCCATTAAAAGTAAAGGGAAAGACCAAAACACAGGGTGTTGTCCCACCCCATTGTTTCGGGTGGTTGTCCCACCCCATTGTCCTAGGAGGGTTGTCCCAGGGGGGTTGTCCCAGGGGGGTTGTCCCAGGGGGGTTGTCCCAGAGCGGTTGTTTGAACCATTTCTTCTGGAGATGATTTCATGGCTTAATCATAATATTTAATTATAATATGATTAAACATTGTTTTATAATCTAACGAAGGTTAAGACATTTAAATTAAACCTGAAACCCAGACCAGCCGACCAGCAACCCCCTAGCCAAAACTACTTAAAGAAATATTACCTTATATATTAAGAGAAAAATGAACGGTGATGGAATCAATAATTATATCGATAAAAAATGCTATGATTGTTGTCACTTCAAAAAAGAAAATATGGAATTGTATAAATTGAATTTGCCTAATGAAATAGTGAATAATACTATTAATTATTCAATGGATGGTGAAGAAGACATATGTAAAAATTGCAAAACATGGAGAGGTAATCAATTCTTAATCAAATGTCTGTTGGGAATAAAAAGAATACATAATAGAAATGTAGAAGATGAGATTTTAATATTTCTAACTGTAAATAAAATACCACCTTACGATTATGTTAAACAGTTTCTTAAAATCAGTAAGAAAAAATATGAAATGATTGATGATATATTATGGATGTTGGGTTATAGTCAAGAGAAAGGGGAAGATGTTAAAGAAAATATCAAATTATTTATTGAAAGTAAAACGTTTAATGTTCAAAATACAGTGAGAGATGTCAATATTATTTTTAAAATGATGTATGAAAGAAGTAAGACAAACCAATTAGATTATTATCCTGAACTGAAATTATAATCATAATATAATAATAACATGTAAAATCTTATATGTTATAATTATATTGAACTTATGGTTTGTAACACCCCTTAAACTTATCTAAAGAAATACCCCCTTAAACATATAGAGACCGATGACAGACAAAAAGCAATGTTCCAAATGTAAAGTCTTTCAATTGTTAGAAAAGTTCAACGACGGAAGAAAACAATGTAATGTATGCTTGGAGAGCAAACGACGGTATAGAGAAGCACACAAAGAACAAATACAAGAGAAGGCAAAGGTTTATTATGAACAAAACAAGGAATACTACAAAACATACCAACAACAATATACTCAGACCTTGATTGAATGTCATATATGTAATCGTCATTATCATCAAGGCAAGCGAAAGCAACACGAAGAAACCAGCTTTCATCAACACAACCTCAAACTGAAAAAAGAATATGAAGAGCGTCATAAAACAAATACACCACCAACACCCCAGAACATTATAACTACTATAAGGGCTAACTCTTTCAAATGAAAAAAATGTCGGCCCCCAGCCCAACAATGAAACAGGCGACGATTTACCCAAATGATTACCTTAACGAAAACGATAAATAAGCTCCCCAAAAACACCCTTTTAAAAACGGATAAGGTGGTTAATAGGTTTGAGATGAATGTAAAAAGCATAACAGGCAACCATCAACAGGCTTCCCCTCAGCTTCACCCTTTCTTCCATTTTTTCCCCCAACTCCCTCTCCCCCCCGGTCCCCCCAAACAAGAAAACACAAAAAAACAACCCCCCCAAACCTCCCAACCAAACGCCAAGCCACAGGTGAGCTCCGTCGTTGAGGCGCTCTGCACGTCGCAGGGTGCGCCACACACGGACACCCGCGCCTCTCTCGGATCCGCATGGCCCTTTCTGAGACACCGTGAATCTTGGTTTTGGAAGGGGAGCAAAAAAAAATAGATTAGCAGTTAAGTAAATTTTGGTGGGGATGTGTTATAAATTGTGAATTTTAGTGGGGATTTCAACCACTAAGCCACAATAGGCAAAAATCTAGAATGTTTCCCAACAACCATGGAATAAGCATCCCTCTTGGGTTCTCAAACACGGCATTGAGGCAAAAACCAGAGGTCCCCTTCCCTTGCAACCCCCTTCAATGGTTAAGCCAAAGTTCAATAGGCTTCGGTGCTAGTCGGAGTGTGATATAAGTATATCCGGTTAGGGGTGGTTTTACAGGAAACCACAAAAAGCATCGCTCATTTTGGTCCACCATGTGAGACAGACTCATATGATTTGGAACCCTGGGTTCTCCGTCAATTCTAAGACCCAATCCAGGGAGTTTGCAAAGCCATTTGCGTCTGCCAAGTGAAACAACTTCCAGCAAACAGCAGGTCAAACATGTGCTCATGTTACCCCATATTCACTACCGTACCCTTTTTGGAGTTCGATGCGAAATGATGTCAGCCACCGACCAAAAACTGAGCTATTTACCCTGCAACAACCGGTTCTTCGAAAGAACCCCATAAAAGGTCAGTTCTTGAGCGAGGCAATAAACGAGAATAATAATTGACCGTTGCTTACGTTTCCAGTTGCGCATGTCTCAAGATAGGATTTGAGCCTTTTTTCCTTGAATTCCTGCGAGAATTAGGCTGCCCGAAGCATCTCAAAAAGGCCCAAGCCCCTTTTTGAGATCCAACGCATTCCAATAGAGGTACCTTCTCCGCTTCAAATGGAGGGTCCTGTCTGATAGGGTGTTGATTTTGCGAAATGCCCGTGCCTTATCTTGAATTGGGCCAAACAGTCTAAACTCATTTACCCCTAAATGACCCAAGCCCAACAGATTCCAGTGCAGAAACTTGGGAATGGAGTACTCTCTTCTGGGCAAATCAATCTGATTCGCCAAAGGCAACCAGCACCCCCCCCCCAAGAACCGCTTTCTGTGCAAAGTCCCAAGTGTCCCAAGGGCGGCTGGGACCCGGGTGCTGGAAGGCATCCCTATGTGCAACCGCTCGCCTGGTCGCCCAAGCCCTGGCCGAAGAACAGCAGCTCCTGGGCCCAAGCAGCGGAAGCTTCGGCACCCTCCGTTGGAAATACGGGGCACCTCCGTCTGGCGCTGGTTGCCTCAAGGAGTTGTCCTTTTGAGAACCCCAGCAGGCCGAGACACCTCCCGAAGCTGCCATTTCGGGAGCCCAAGAAGCAAGCTAGGGTGTATGGGGGACCCTGAGCTGTAAGCCCAATCAAGGGGTTCATTTCAGAGACCCCCTGAGATTCCGATTCGACCGTTTTGGGTCAACAAATTGTTGGTTTCTGAGGGTCCCTTGATCGGAACTCCATTGGAGGGGCTTTTTGGTGGGGTCTGCGCTGGGTCCCGTCATGACCCTTAGGGAGCACTGATTCGTTCGCTTCGCTTTGAGCCTGTCTCAGACTGCCGACCCCAAATACCAAGGAACTGAGGTAACAACACAAATCGACTGCAACCTCTTCCTGCGGCCATCCATTTATGGAAGATATGGAAGGTTTGAACACGGCTACTTAGTGGGTTCTGGATTCTCCCAAAGCATCAGCAAGGACCCTCCATAGAAGGGAGTTTATGTTCTAGGGACCTACATTGAAAAGAACTGGTTGCCTCAAAGTTTAACTTTTGGTGGTTTGATGGAAACCCATAAGTTGGCCAAACGCTAAAGTCCTGACATCCAAGCAAAATGCACCAAAGCTTGGGGTGCATGGTCAAACTCTTTCGGTGGGCTATGGCTTCCCGAGCGTGTCCATACCCATTCCATGCCAAGTATAGCATGTTTGGGACTGGTTTAAAGGACAACCAGAAGGAAACCACCTGTAATTTTGAGAAACACCCATGTTTTGACTGGATGAGGAACCCCTCCCAGTCAAGGTGAACATAAATCACCCATCTGCAGTAAACGATATCCTCGAGAGTTGAAATTCACCCTAAGGGTCGTGACCCCTCCAATGCAGACCCCATAAGGGATTCTCCAATGGAGAACCCCGATCAATTCCCCCTGAAGAACAACAAATGCTGAGGGCCCAAAATCCATTGGCACCCGTGACTGAAAAACAGCCGTATTTGGGTGTCTTTTTTAGGGGGCCCCAACAAATCGTGGTTTGCCCCTCTTGGTTTCCCAAAAAACACCACAAAAACCAGGGACCCTTAGGACAGAGGATCCCAGTTAATTTTTGCATGTGTAGTCTCTCGGAAGTCCTGGCCGCCAGCCATACTGCCCTCCAGGTTCAGGAAGAGGTCTCTGTCCTTGCTCTCTCTGTGTCCGCCTGTCTCTGTCTATATCTATGTCTATGTCTCTGTCCTTGTCTCTGTGTGTCTGTCTCTGTCTCTGCCTGTCGATGTCTGGCTGTCTGTGTCTATGTCTTTGTCTCTGGCTTTGTCTCTGTTTCGGTCTCTATTTGTCTGTCTGTCGGTTTGCTTGCTTGCTTGCTTGCCTGCCTGCCTGCTTGCCTGCCTGCCTGCCTGCCTGCCTGCTTGCTTGCTTGCTTGCTTGTGCGTGTTTGCTTGTTTGTTTGCTTGTTTGCTTGTTTGTCTGTTTGCTTGTTTGTTTGTTTGTTTGTTTGTTTGGTTGGTTTGGTTGGTTGGTTTAGTTGGTCGTTTGGTTGTTTGTATGACTGTTTGTTTGATTGATTGCCTGCCGGCCTGCCTGTCTGTATGTCTGTTGTGTCTGTCTCTGTCTGTCTGTGTGCTTTTTGTGCTTCGTTGTTTGTTTCTTTCTTTGTCTGTCTTTTCTTGTTTGCTTTAGAAGTTTATGTTTATGTTTGATTCAAACTGTTGGTGCAGTTTTATGCTTGAGGAACATCGTTGTGCGCTTGCTTTAAAGCTATTGTCCGAAGCATGTGTTTTCAGCTGTAAAACAAAGTCATTTAGTCTTCCAGTAAAGCTCAACCTCCCCCTCCCCCGCATTTTGGGGCTGTAATGTTAACCCCTGAGTAATCGAGGTATTTGCCACGAAATCTGACCACTACCCGCTAATTCATCAAAACACCTGGCCTTTGTGTTTTGTCGGCATTACTTGCAACAACAAAGTTTTCCATAGTAAATATATGACTTTTGTTGCAGGGGTGGACACTATAACAAAGCGGGTATTTGGAGTAGCGGGTGGTTGAGCTTCTCCTAAGCTCCTACTATTCGGGATTTAGATAGAACTTGAGTTCGGTTCCAAACAACTCAATTGACTGGTGGCTCACTAATAAAATTCACGCCCCAAGGGACATAACCCAAAAAATACACTTTAAATTGGAGAACCCCAACCAATTCCCCCATGGCCCTCAAAAACAGTCCCATTTTTGAGCACCCGCAAACAGTCGTTGTTGAGTCTACCCCAAAATCTAACATAGTCTTGGAGGAGCCTATCACCGGCACTAGAAGGTTCCGAGAAAAAAATGCCTTCTTGATTCTGAGGGGTTTGATATCCAGAAAGACGAACAAAAGGAAAAACACCACCGCACAAAATTGCTTGCTGGTGCTCAGTAC